AGCACCAACATGCAAATCTACGGTACCGCTATCTATCCAGCTAGATAGCTAGCCTTTAACCCATCTACCTTTACATTACTTGTATAAAGAAAATTCTACCCTTTTCACACTCGATCATCTAGTTTACACTTATTATGCCCCTGTAAGCTTACAGTACCGTTAATTATTTTAGGATTATAAAAATAACCGTAATCACTTCAAAGCGCCTAAAAATTAATTTTAAGTTATAATTATTCAATATAATTATACGCCTGTTTGCCTTTCATTCCATTAGTAAACACGTAAAGCAATCACTTGTTAGATTTCCATGCTATTATTAAATCTTCCGTGTTTGTAGGATCAGCATAAAATATTCGTACTTTATCAGGATTGACACTTGGATATGATCTTACTTTCGCATGTATTATTAATGTCCCAAAAGTAGGACTATCGTTTAATATACGCCAAGTAAAAAATTCTGAATATACGTCATTATCTAATTAATAAATTAGTATCGTTATTCCCGAAGTTTATACTATTTATCTTAATCCTATGATTTCTCTCGTTAAAATGCTGGTATTCTCTCTATATATTGTCTATAACACTTTAGGAGAGAAAACATGGGAACCTCTAATTTACCAGAATACATTCATTTACGATTGGTTAGCAGATATAAATACGAAGGCACCAGTAACCGCCTAAGGAGATTTACATATCAGTCTGCACATAACTCTAGGTTATGGATACGTTATGTTTCACTTTACATTGTGGGTATGACTGGATTTATGGTATCAACTTGGTTACAAGGTTCTCCTTATAATTTTCTTCCTGTTCCTGTCCTTCATGACTTACCTTTTCCTCATGCTATATATACACTATTTTTAATTATCGGTTCTATCTTCGGCTGCTTAACGATCATTGTTATAATACCATTACTTCATTGCGGTGGTGAAGAAGTAGAAAACTCTATCGCTTATCGAGATGAAAAAATATTGAAATATACAGAAACAGAGCTTATTTTTCGATTATCCTGGTATATCGATAAACTCTCTAAGTCAATATCGCGGTTAGCTCACGATATCTTTGATATCCAAACATGGTGGAAATTTATAACTATGCTCATAATTTTACTGTGTTGCGTTCCATTTGCTATCATAAATAAGATATCGTTAGAGTATTATGCGTTTCGTAAAGCGGATGTTATCGCGTATCGATTGTGCCAAAAATTTCATTGCCACGGTAAAGAATTATCCCATTCTAAAGCATTTATCAAAGCTGTTCTCTATATCATTTCTGTCCTATATTGCTCTATGGCGATGTTTCTGATATACTTTACATTGCAGTTATTGATTAGAATTTTAATCACATCGACTGCTTTTATTATTGCGCATAGCAATTTCTTTTCAGCTTATTTAGCTCCAATTTTCCCTTTTATCTATTTTACAAGACAAGCATTACGAGGTTATTCTGCCGATAAAATATTACTATCTAAAAATATCCTTGATTTACAAGATGAAATACAATCTGATATAGACGATTACTTATCCAACGATGATGGACAAATGGAAATTTTATTTATCGTTACTCCTAAAGGAGTCGAGGTCGATCTGCCTATAAGACTAGAAAATCTTCGTGAAGTAATACGAGCTAGATTAGAATTATTAGCAATGGAATGCGATACAGAATTTCGATACGAGCAACAATGTATCCTTGTAAAATTTCAATTAGATAAGATAGATGAAAATGGGAGTAAAATTTATGACGTCGAGTTTTCTAGATTTAATAACGATCTAAGCGACTTACGTCAAAAAATTATGGTAGAGTTAAGTGATCAACATGTAGATGCTCTACAACTCAGTCTGAAACCGTTCTATTATAATGTAAAATCTACATCGGATGAGAATACTGAAGTCGGTATTCCGATCGAATTTTATTATCATCTTAGTAATCATGCTTCGAGACTGACAACAACTTCTAGACAAGTAATAAGTCGTATTTTCGCTATAGGCTGCATTGCTACATGCTTTATAACGGCTGTAGCTTCTTTTAATATTATTAATAATATTACTACCTTGAGTAACGCATTATCAGGAACGATTATATCTCATATTACTATGATGTCAAGTATGGCTTACCTTACCGATGCAGCTCTAAATGATGATCAAAAGCAAAGCTTATTAAAGAAATATATTATGGATTATATTTTAGGATATAATTTTTTCTACACTAGAGGTAGAACGTTACATCCTTGTCTTCAACTTTATCAATCGTTTTATTTCCGTAAGCAGATGAGAAAGAAGAAAGTTATAACCCTAACAGTAGTTTAAACGGCGGACGACTTTAGGGTTGACCTTAACATATAGACTATTAGAGAAGAGTATCCGGCAACTGATAGAAAATTATTTACATCTGCGTACCTTACAATATACGTTTCATCGAGGCTATTAAAGGCATAAGCGAGCTATTTACTTTATTACAATATTCTATATCATAGCTAAACTACAAAGATTCAGAAATCTCTATTTCTTCCGGTAACGTCAGTAAAAATTTTTTTCATTTATAAAAATCGTGTGACTGACGGAAGGCGATACATATCTACCGTACTTTGCAATGTATATTTATATAATCTTTATTAAACACCATCCGACATGAAAGTTATATGTGAGCTATTAATACGGTACTCAATGATGGCAAAGCCACCCTGAGAATTTATGAAATTCTCCTGCTACGATGATACTTCAAGCAACAAGATGTCCAAGTAGAGATGCCATAGCAGAAAGATATAACTTGCAGGAATTAGCTATTGTCCAGTTTGTCATATATAGTATGCAATTGTTAAGCACTTACGGTCTAGAAGCTGTATATTCGAAAGATTTACACACTGTTGAAGTCCTAAAAATTTGAACTTCTCCTTTTTGATGATATCAGTAAGAAATAAGAGCTCTCTAAGTTTATATTATTCATTCGGAAGGTCTGATAGATGAAAATTAGATTGTCTTTACGTTGCCATACATCTACATGCCTTTTCTAATCTTCAGTGATGCTGTTATCCCATTTATGAGCTGCTAATTAATCCGTGATCGACAATTCCCATATGGAATTGGAAAGATTCGCCTTTAAAGCCAACGCAAGTAGTAAAAAGCATTATTTAATTTGTATATAACCACTAATGAGGCTATAACGATAACTACTCAATTTGCATTTACCCAATTGGATAAGAATTATAAATAGAACTAGTTTGTATCTCACTTTGCAAATATACATTAGTTCTATTTAATTGTTAATTATTACCATATTAAATGCAGTCAGAGAAATTCATGAGCTATAGTATTTACTACTTAGTTTTCGTGGATCTCTCTACACACTTAGATATTTTTACTTTTCATGCAATAAAGAAGAATTGTTTGCATATAATCAATTGTATACGCATCATTAATGAAATAATTCGCGTTTACTTTACAGTATATAAAATACTAATGCGCTCTGCAAATTGCTGCTAACATCAGTAAGCGTGTTTTTGCGCTGTTTACTTTAGGTAGAACTTTGAGGAATTAAAACAATTTTCTATCCAAAGTAGTTAATATGACTTATACAATCTACATTTACTGTAGCTATCAGATCCGGATAGGTACCACTAACGGCAAAGACTTTGTTTTCATTTTTTAATATTCGTATATAT